TCACAGGCGGATGAGTGTAGTTTCCTTGGTTCACTCCGCGCGAAGCGGCTGTTCCTGCTCCTTGCAATATGACCAGTGACTTTTCCATGAACAAAAAAACCTAATATCCTATATCAGGAACGCTATTCCAATGGAATTTGCAGTAGTTTCCAGTACTTTAATGTTTCTTGGTTGATGTTTTCGATGGACTTGTCAAATCTTTTTAAAGGAGAGCCAGGTCCCAGGTGGCCCAAAAAACGCCTGCAGCAATGGTTGAGAGATGCCCCCACAGGGAAGCAACCTGCAGCATGGTGAATCAAGCCATGCGAAAAAAGGCGGAAACGACCTGACATGACACGACGGTCTATATATGGGGATGGGTCAAAACCTTGTACCCCTGGTGAACCTCAAAATAGCTGGGATTTATGGATGTTCATCACCCTAAAAATGGTACTTATAGGTATTGATCCATAGCCATATTTCGTAGAATGGATGTGGCAAACGGAATGCTGAACCTATCATGTCGGGGTGGTTTTTACCATCCATTTATGGGAATATTGGACTTGCTGTATTGTTGGATTTATCACATTGAATGTGATAGTGCTGCTATATAGTTAAAGGGTGTTTCCGACCTAGTATGGTGGGTTTGGAACCAATAATGATGCCAGTTTTTCATGTGAATCTCAAGTAGAGAGCCATGACCCCTTGGTACTTGTCGAGAACCTTTCTTGGGTTTCTGCGACAATGCTTGTAACTTTGGGGTTTGATATCATTGGGGCAGAAGGTGAGTGTCAAACATAAGTGCCACGTTCACAAAAGGAATGTACCAGACGGATCCAAATCTCCCTTTCTGTTTGGGCGTTGAATCATCAGATCATACAGTGAGACCTGGCTTCCGCCAAGCCCAGGTGCCAAACTCGGCTCATGGCCCTGTGGCCTGCACCAACGGCCAGGAAGAGGTCATCTGTCACCGCCTTGCGGTCAGCAGAGTCAACCTATCCCTAGCATACTGTGATCAGGTATTGGGAAGGTAAACAATGGTAAGTAAACAATCAAGTGGAAACAGGCCATGTCAAGCATCACTGAAACAAAATAGTAAAACATCATTCAAAAATGACCATACCAAAGATCCAAAAGCATAGAACATCGATGAACATCGGCTTGCTGCAATCTCTCGCAGAGTTCGGGGTGTTCAAACCTGCTGCTTCCGGATGGTTGGCACCAAAAAATTGAAAAGGCTGGCATCTATAGTGCTACGCTTTCCAAACTCAATATACTGATTTTGGCGGAAAAGCAGGTCTGAAATGATCATTGCCAGCTTGGTTCATTTGTAGTGCCCAGAAAAACTGGCATCATAATCCCAAATGCGGGGCCTTTAAAGGACCAAAGCTTTGGCTTTGAATGATTTTCAGTAGATGGCTCTAACTGTAGTAGTTATAGTTAAAAAGCCTGGCCAGGGATTGAAGAAATAAACCCAGCGCTGCGCAAATCCATGGCGTCTCCTGTGGTTCCAGCAGATTCCTTTTATAAGTGGCGACTATGGTCACTGGAAATCCTGTTCCATCGTGGCTTCATCTCTCCACGAATGATCCGAAGGATTTCAGGCTACCATCCGGTTGATCTTTGTTCTGTTTCGGACATCTCTGTACTTGGTGGTGAGGGTATCAAAAAGACAATGTACATCATGTACTATGGTCAAAAAACTGCATGTTCGAGATGGTCATCCTGATTCCTTCCATTTCGGTAACTGTCAGCAGTAATGAGGGAATGGCAATGCCTTAGCACACAGGGCATCTTTGCATCTCAAGAACGTGATAAATCTGGGTAAATTGTAATATTTCACCAACCTGAATTAAAGCCATTTGGGGATGATTTCCCTTATTAACCATGATTTCCAGTGAGGGAGATCAGTGAGGTCGTTATATTTTACCCAGATAAATGAATATAAATGGCACATTCCACACCATCTCCCACTTCATGGCAGGGTAGAGTCACTATGGCCACCATGGTACCAGGTCCCCTGCGAAGTTGTTGTTGCCTGAAGGCACCATGGATGTGCACAACAGGTAATCACTTTGCTCTCCCGAAATAAACAACGCAAGTAGTCAAGAAACAAGCACTAGGTTCTTTGAGCTAAAGCCTATGAGAGTTTGACCTCGATTGACCTGAATAATTAATGTGGTTAAAACAACAATAAACTATACTCATTTGGGAATGGTTTATACCACATTTATAGTGATTTGGAGGATGGTTTATTATTGTTTTAACCACATTACTTCAAGAGCCACGTTTTTTGTTTCAACATGCTTCATCCATGCCCTGCGATTCAACCCAAGGGCTGGTCCATGTCCGAGATCCACTGAGCCTCCCAACCAAAACATGTCAACGCCTCGAAGATCGCCTCAACCGATGACACCAGCTGTGGCGTTGCACGTGCCTCGGCTGCGCAGCAAAAAATATTGCGTGGAGCAAACCTGAAAGAGAACAATGTAGATATGGGTCAAAATTATAGGTACCCCAACAATTAGAAACTAAAATTCAGATTAGATATTATAGATACTGAAAGACAATTAATTATTAGTATAAATTATTAGTAACAATTAGTTGATATAAATTATTGCTCAGCAAGTTTAGTAAACAATATTGTTACAAATAGTCTACTAAAATTGTTACTAATAATTTAACAATTATTACTGAAACTAAACTAAACCCTGCGGTCCCCGCGGTCTTAAATGGCTTGACCTATACCTACTGCATGCTTCGCCCTCGTCCGGTAAGGGACTCGCCATCGTCTCGGCGATGGCCTTTAGCTGAGCTTCTTCCTGCACCGTTCCGCTGCTTGCAGCGGGAATATCGGATAGCAAAGTCATGATCCAAATCAACACCATTCCCCAGCCATATAGAAACATCATCGTTGTATGGTCTGAAATTATCTTAAATGGTCCTCTATAAATATGTGATGTCATCCCCTACAAAACCATAGTTTCTGGGGGGTGTTTAATAGGATCAGGGTAAGGGAGTAGCATCCAGGTCCTATCTTTTGGATCCATTTTTTCGCCAACCTTAGATATCTTGTCATGACCAAGTTCACAGCATGCTGTCAACAGTGACCCAAGAACCTTTAGTACCACAGTGAGGTGGACCCGATGATGGGGAGAGTGTGGTTATAAGCAACCATAGTGGGGGTATGATCAGATATATCCAGAAATAGTTGGAATATGTTGGAATGATATGGAAAAACATGTGAAACATTGCAGCCGGGTGATTACTCCCGGTTTTTTTTTGGTAAACGATAGCCACAAGGGGGAAAGTGGCGATTTACCTTGATGCCTTAAAAAAAAACCTCGCATTGGGAGCAAACCTGCCTGGTTAAATACTGTCAAGAGCATGAATCTGAAATGTCACGCACTTTTTCAGATTGAAAGCTCCAAGACAGTGGACTCCACTCTGAAATATGATCCCCCAAGAAATCAAATACTTTCAGTGGATGAGACAAGGAAAACTAATCCATCATGGTACCAGAATTACCAAAGTAATTACCCTCTGGTAAACGAACGTAACTATGGAAAATCACCATTTTTAATGGGTAAACCCATTATAAATGGCCATTTTCAATAGCTATGTTAGTTTACTAGAGGATACTCCCAAGATGGTTTCCTCATCGCAGCATCCCGTGAGAAGCCGACCTCAGGTTTCATGAAGACCTTGGCGGACTCCAAGTCCTCAAGAGCCTGAGAACCATCAAGATGAACAGTGGCATCCGTGTTTTTATTCCATCTGTCGGTAACACATAAACATCCATAAACTGGGTCCAGTTCAGATTTCACTGATATCATTGATGTCATCAAGTTGAATGAATATGAATGAATCAAAGAAACACATCTGATTGATGTCTAAGGAATCTAAGGAAGCACCAATGAAAACACCCTTCAATTGTAAGGAAACTCGTGGAATGCCTCCTGTCATCTCCGGTAACTGAAACCCCATTAAACCCCGGGCCCCTACAACCACCCTTCAGGCTCTGGCACCGCTCGGGCCTGGCCGAGTCATTGCCTGTGTTTTTTTATATATATATATCTATCTATCTATCAACAACTAATTATCAACAACTAGTACAAAACTTAACTGTCAACTTCTGTCAACTATTTTTGGCAAATGGTCATATATGTGTAATGAAAGGATGCAACTGATCTACATAAATTGCATCCGAAAACAACCAATAACTAAACATATACTACTCTCTTTCTCTCTGTCTCCCTCTCTCTCTCTATACATATGTATAAATATATATATACATAGTTGTTAATATATATATAGTAGAGTTATACAGTAGTTGGTGTGTATGGCAAGACTCAAAAACAACGAATAACATCAACATGATCTATACAATAATATATAGATAGTAACTCTGATGCTGGTTGGCGGTTTTAGTTTTAACCATCTTGGAAAAAATGAGTTCGTCAATGGGAAGGATTATCCCATTATGGAAAGTTTTAACCACCTCGAAAAATATGAAATTCAGTTGGGATTCTTATTCCCAAATATTCCCAATATATTGGGAAAAAAAAACATATTCCAAACCACCAACCAGTTATATATAAATGCTGGATATATGGAGCTTTCCTAAGTCATGGGGCTACCCCCAGTCATCATATCATCCATTTTAGATTGGGATTTCCATATCATCCCAGTCATCATATTCCAAACCACCAACCAGCTAATCAGGAGAGTCAACTTGTTCCTCTACTCTACTCGTTCCTCAGGATGCCAAGATTGCCATGTCGGATGCTGCGGATGCTTTAAATGTGTAGAAATGGAGTAAAAATGAACCAAAAACATGCTTAGAGATTGGATCGCAAAGCTGAAAAAACATTGATACTTCTGGACTCTTGAGAATTTGAGAATGAAATTTCCATGATAGATTAGGATCATCTAAATAATCACTAAACATTAGTACCAATGATTCATGAAATACGCAACACAAACATACATTAACCCGTATCAATGATTACTCGCAGTGAAAAGAAGGTTAGTTTCAATCTACGTAGTCTATCATAATTATAATATATGTCATTGTTCAACAAGAGCGAGTTGCATTTCAGCCACACTGTGGATGGAAGAAATCCTGCACCAGTTCGTAGGTGATTTATCCATATGTGTCCCATCATAATCTATTGTCATCCCATAAAATAAACACGTTTTGATAGTTACCATTAGTATCCATTCGTTACCTTACCACCCTCTGAAACATATGACTTCGTCAGTTGGGATAAAAATATTCCCAATATGATGGGAAATTCATAAGATTCCATTGTTCCAGTCACCACCAGTCAGAATAGTTACAATGTGGGCGCCCCCCAGTGATGTTTGTTGGTTTATAAACCCCCATAACTTAGTTATAAGTACCATAAACCATAGTTATTGGAGTTATTTGCACCAACTTGGCTATCTTGGGGGCCCCACATTGTACCAACGTTGGATGGCTGCGAAATCCAGCACCATTCAAAGGATGGGCATCTCTACCACCTCTCAAGAAAAACGCCGCACCTTTCTCTGACGAGCTCCGGACCTGGGTTGAAAACGATATGAAAATCTCATTGAAACCACCAGCCGGTCAACATATTCAACAAAAACAAACTAATGAAAATGGGTCATTTTCGTTTTCTAAACATAGAAATAAGCTATCTAGATGTTATAACATGTTGTCATTAAGGCCTTCTAAAGCCCTTTTCTAAAAGCTCCGAAGGACAAATCATGACTTATGCTGAGATTGTTTAGGGTTGCTGTAAAGCGTCCAGAACAACAACTGAGGGTTTATCACCAAGAAGGAAATCCTGGGTTGAACACAAACAAACGTTTGACCAACAAATGCATAGGAATACTTGGTGGCTCATCCCACTTAGTAATTTGGTTATAACCCATGTACGAGCCGTGGGATGAGCCACCAAGTACATTCAACTATATTCTAGGTAACTTGTAATATTTAGGTCATGTTTGGTCATTTTTTGGGATGATTCCCCTATTCAAAAAAAACAGAAGATTCCAGGGAGGTCGCAGTGAGATCGTGATTTAATCTGCCCAGAAGTACCAGTAGAAACCACAAATCAACAGATGGAGATACTGTACCAAGAAACATTGGTTTACCACCAGACATCGGGACTGGAAGCGTAGAGAATAACCATCGGACAAAACCCTGGTACCGTGGGTTCTCATACCAAAATACGTGAGATTGGATATGAATCCCCAGAAAATGATGGAACATGATGGAAAATGATGGAACATGACATCTTTTGATGCATAGCCACATTTAAAAAAGTGACAGCTATGTTTCCAAATGTTTCGAACGCCAGGCAGCAATGATGCCTTTTTTATCTAAGGCACACATCTCCCAGCCAGAAGTGCGTCCTGTATGACGTCCGTGCCATGAAGAGCAGCGTCGGCAAAGGCCTGCATGATAGCAATGGTGATAATGATAGCAAACGCCCAACTGCATCCTGGCCGCCAAATATCCGAATGAAATTATATGATTGCATTCAATTGGGGAGTGGTAAATCAACATGTTTTTTATTTTGGATGAACCAGCTTTGATTAATCGAGGGTTGACAAAAAAGAGCCAATCATGTAGCAAACCCCATCACGGTCACAAGTTGGAATGAGAAGTTCATGTATCTATATCTAGAATGATTTAGAGATGTTTGCACAATCGATTGAAAGGATCTGAACATTGCACGTCTAACATCACCAGATGTATTCATGGTACCACATATTCGGTTTCTGGAGATCAGCTTTGGGTCAAGATTAGGTCCCTATCAACATGGCTGATTACATACAAAAACGTACTAAAACTGATTTAAACAACACAAACATATGTGATTCCATGAATGTTCAATGCTGCCCGCGCAAAACACCAATGGTGATTCTCCAGGTTCCCGTGTTGTTCTTCATAAACATTAGCATGTGCCACCTTGCCGCTGCTCGTTTTAACGAGTTCTGCGATGTGTTTGCCTCCGCTGCTGGCTGTTTTCGCCAACAGCTGAGATAGTGACGAGTCGCATTGGGAAGAAATGTCTGGGCAAACGTCAATGTCGTGCCGTTTAATGGTTGTATAATTACAGCTGACGCCCAAAATCAACCCGCCACACCATCAGTGGCATCGATGGGATCATGGTTTCCTGCAGTGTTCCACTAGACAGTAGGTTTCAAACCATCTCTGACCCAACAATGTGGGGCCCCCTAGATGGCCAAGTTGGTTTACAACTCGAATAACTATGGTTTATGATACTTATAGACTATAGTTAATGGGGTTTATAAACCATCTTATAACTGGGGGGCGCCCCACATTGTAAAGATTGAGACACTTGTGAACACTGCGACATCGTCCATCGTATGTACATGAAAGCTGCATGTTAGCAGCACGCTGAACCAAAGAATCCATGGCAATCTCTGAGATTTTGAGCCCCTATGCTGATAGATGATTCAATCGCCAGTAAACAGAGGGTTTTCTTTCGGCAATCGTTTAGCTACAATGTGGCCCCCCCCCCAGTCATAAGATGGTTTATAAACCCCATTAACTATAGTTATAAGTATCATAAACCATCGTGATTATTATAAACCAACAAAGCTATCGAAAACGGGGGCCCCACATTGTAGAGATCGCTTCAGCTCCCACTTCAGGGACATTTCACACCCAAGCCAGGCTCCGTTGAAGAAAATCATGCGCTGGATCTGAAAAAAAATACTCAACTGGAACGTCTGGGCAGCTGCTAAATCTAATCATGTGGGTAAAATAATGTCATAAACCATCCATGACTGGGAATGGTTTATACCACCTATAAAAATGGTGGTGACTGGGGAATAGTTATTATTGTTTTAACCACATTAGAGTAAACATTGGATATTATAATTCCTTGGCTGAACAATCCTGGACACACCTCTCAAACCCTTAGAACCTCAAATCTAAATGTAATTAAATTCAATGGATTGGTTTAAGGGAAAATCTACAGGAAACCATAGATTGTCCCATTAAATATGGGGGTTTCCGGTTTCAATTTTCCCTTAAACCAATCCATTGATAAATGTACATCAAGTCAAGTTTCCAAAAATCATCCATGCCCATCAATCAACTGCTCAGAAAGAGCAATTGATCCCGAGCAAAAAATGCATGATCCGCATCATTTTGTGCATCATTTTGTGCTACCTGTGGGTTATAAATCATCGAGCTAATGGGCAATCTCTCTCTCTATATATATATACATATTAACTACTATGGGTATATATATATATATAGCTACTATGTATAAAATAACTATGTATGTATATATATATTATAGAGAGATGGCGGTATACCATTACTACATCAATATAGCTGGTAATCCATATATATATATTATACACCGTAGCTAGATGTAACAGATTACCAGAGGGTATATCCCATTACTATTTCTACCTCTGTAAACTCCCAGTACCAAAGGATAATTCTAATTTCATTTCCAATCATTGCCAATCTTAGATACCCTACAAAAGAATAAATTCTTAGCTGGTGAACGTAGATAATCCCGTTGATACCAAAAGACTCATTAGTTAGGATTAGTCTGTACCCATCTAAGATTGACCTAGAAATGAACCGTAAATTCACTGGTTGGTGGTTGAGCCACCCTCTGAAAAATATTAATCAGTCGGGATGATTATTCCCAATATATGGAAATTCAATAAATTCATGTTCCAAACCACCAACCATATGTAAATTCCAATGAAATCTCCATGAAATCACCATAAAATCCTCCAACGTCCCAGTCTCATCGCTTGCCGATCTCCTCCACTGTCGTCTCGACCCCCACCTAAGCAGTTTGGGACAGGCGGAAAGCCGCGTTGCGCTCCAGTGGCGGCTTGGGCTAATGGGGATTTGTAGCCAGGAACATGGGATGATGATATATGAAAATATCTAGAATCTATAATCTATCATATATCATATATCATATATCATCTATATATATATATATTCATATAATCATATATTCATATATTCATATATTCATATATTCATATATTCATATATTCATATATTCATATATCACATATCACATATCAAATATCAAATATCATAAATCATATATCACATATCATCATCATCATCATCATCATCATCATCATCATCCTCATCGTCATCGTCATCGTCATCGTCATCATCATCATCATCATCATCATAATCACAACAATCTCATACCTGAAAATGGAAAGTTTCACCTGGAAATCAGAAGAAAACTGTTACGGTTGTCACTTTTGGGTTTTGGGTTTGACTTGGACATGAAACAAAAAATGAGGAGGAGCAATAATCACAAAAATGGTGCATCTGCAAAATTCCAAACCTTGAACCAAGGTTGGGAAGCTGTGCCAAAGTGCTGAAGACCGTCCCTTCCCCTGTGGCAAGGCCAACCTGGTGTCATCACTTAAAAAGCAAGGCCCTGCATGGAGGATCGCCCCACTCAGAAACTGAGTGAATCATCATATACCATCTGGAAATTTGTTACATAGCCATGGAAAATCACCATGCTATTAGAACGGTAAACCTCTATAAATGGGCCATTTCCCATGGCTATGTTAAATAACCAGAGGGTAGGGTAGCCCACTTTTTCAGGATTTAGATTTGGACTGGTTTCCACATGGGATTTCTGTAAAATTTAAGGAATATGTTTTTTTCATAGTTACCAACCAACATGATCAACCCCGAAAAAATGGAGCTTTCCGTTTCGTCATAGGGGTACCCCCATTTAACATCATCCAGCTATTAGAGCTCGGATTTTCCCATGGAAATAGTCAGCATCCAGCTTTTGGGATCTCCACTAGACCACCTTGGGGCCTTCGAAAAAGGCGCCATGTTTCGCACCATGCTCACGAAGAAATGCATTGAACCACTAGCGGCGCCTGTGGCCACTGGGGAACTCGAAGAACTATAGTTATGTTTTTTTTTGTGGTTAATGGTGGTTATGGCTATCATTATGGTTGTTATATAATGTGGGTAAAACAATGTCATAACTGTGGTTATTAGTGGTTATATAATGGTTATTAATAATTGTTAATGGTTATTAATGGTGGTTTATGGCTAGTTAATGGTTATTAGTGGTTATTTAATGGTTATTAATAATGGTTAATGGTTATTAATGGTGGTTTATGGCTAGTTAATGTGGGTAAAACAATGTCATAAACCACCCATGACTGGGAATGGTTTTTACATATATATATACACCACCTATATAGTTATGGTGATGACTGGGGGATGGTTTATGGCATTGTTTTACCCACATGAATGTACCATGTTTTGTTACTTTGGGGAAACAGAAAACATGTTTTGTTTCCTCTGGAATCATGAGACAAACAACTGAAAAACACCTACCTGAAATCAAGCGAGTCACCGAGTCATCTTGGAAGATAGCTGTGATCCATTAATCCAACCAGTAAAGTCTCAGTTTGGGGATGTGTTGGCTTCAATTTTTGTTTAGCCACCTGGCTGCCTGAGTCGAAAAGATTCGACTGGCAGGGGCAGGGGTCCTTATGAGCAAGGTCACCATCTCCAGATTTTTTGACCCTGATCTTCTATGCCTAATTACCCTCTGGTAAACTAACATAGCTACCGAAAATCACCATGTTTTTACTATGTAAATCAACTACAAATGGCCATTTTCAATAGCAAACTGTTAGAAATTACCAGAGGTATTCCTGCTGGGGATGGGCACGCCTTGGTAGCGACAGGGAACTGGGTGATTTCACTGATGGATCCCTAGCTTTGGAGTTGCATCCCCTTGGTTTGGAACCTGTTCCATTTGTAAATCCCCTATAAAACAGCATGCTAAGGCTAAGGGCTCAATATTAGGCGGATTAGACTGCTTAGACATCTCAAAGCTGAGATAAAAAGCTGGGCCATTTTCAATTTAAGTTCCCCAATCAACCGTCCCTGCTAAGGTCTTGTGAAGCTGCTGTAAAATCATCCAGCTGTGGGGTTGCTCCCTGCAATAGCTTGGAGCAAGCCTGATACACCATTTTCATACCAATATTTTCTGTGTGAAGGATTGTTTTTGGGCGTAGAAGATGATGTTCTGCTTACGTATAATCCATACCATACACGAGAAACCCATAGCAACAGAAGGTCTTGAAGTAACAGATTTGAGAGTCTTCCGGCACCCTACAGCAAGTTCGAAGTTCTTTGAGTTGTTGCTTGTACCCTGAGTATGGTACATATATATATATGTTATTGTATATATAAATATCATATAGTAATATTATACATTGTAAATGTATATATATATATACACACATATTATATGTTATGGGTACATGTCGAAAATCTTGGGGTCCTGTTCTTGTCTGGAAGAACTGACTAAACAATGCCAGGCTAATCCAATGGGTCGCGACTTGTTTTCTCCGCAATCCCAAAGAATTTGATCGGATGTCCTAGCAGCAGGACCGAACCTTCCAAACTGCACGTGCATCTCTACCTGTACAATTAATTTATGCTTGTATGTTTACACAACTTTACAGATATCTGCATAGAAGAAGTAAACGTACATATTTCCACATATCTGAGTATCTTGTAATATTTCACTAACCTGAAATGTTGGGCTATCTTGGGGATGATTCCCCTTACTATGATGATAGGCTTCGGGAGATCAGGGTTCGGTCCTGATCAAATTTACCCTGACGGCCGATGACGGAGGGAAAATCCTGACTTGACATGGACTAAGCCGTAGCCGGAAGGCTGGTGATCAAGTTACCGGCTCTCGGCATTCCGAGAGGTCCCCGCATGAACAATGACATAATGGTACCGCGATGTGTATCACATGTGTATCTCTCTCTATATATATAAAAATATATTATGTATATATATATATTGTATGTATGTATGTATGTATGTATGTATGTATGTATGTATGCATGCATGCATGGATGGATGGATGGATGGATGGATGTATGTATGTATGTATGTATTTATGTATATATATATTATATTTATGTATATGTATATATATATTATGTATATATATATATATATTATGTATATATATTATGTATGTATATATATATTATGTATATATATATATATTTAAAAAAAACATGCACATATTATACGTAATTATATAAATATATACATACACAACCTTTAATATGTGGTATATCTTCATAAATTTGCATGGCTATAGAATATATGCGTGTGTGCACAATGCATGCTCTGACTTTCAGGGAGGACCTGAATAACTTGATCACTGTGAAATGTGGACACGGCATCACCCCTTGACCGACAGCGGAGGCGGAGTCATTCGCCAAATGATGATCAATCAAATGCCTGAATTGAAAGGAATTGACAATTTTTGGTAATTTAACATAGCCATGGAAAATGGCCCATTTATAGATGGTTTACTTATTAAAAATGGTGATTTTCCATAGTTATGTTAGTTTACCAGAGGGTAACTGATAGGTCATGCTAGGTCTATGATCTGATATGAAAAACGCGGATCCACACACCTCCCCAAAAAATATCCAAAAAAAAATCTGCCCACGAAAAAAAAGCATTTCAAGAAGCTATGACGATGACAGTTTCAAGCACAAATTCTGTTGGTCAACTTACTGCCATGTGTCGAGTCAACTTCCATCAGATGCGTTGGAACTTGCGTTGGAACTTGTGGGGTCTACCATCTTACACAATTCCCAAGTGAAACATCTGCAAAAAGAAAAGGTTGAGCCTTCCATTAGAAAAGACAAGAAGTTGACAGAACTTGCATCGAACGCATGCTCTGCAATTCAAGGCTCTAGGCCTCATCAGAATACTACCAGCTTGCTGCCATGTGTCGCGTCAACTTCCATCAGATGCGTTGGAACTTGCGTTGGAACTTGTGGGGTCTACCATCTTGCAAGTCCAAAAAGGAACATCTGCAAAAAGAAAAGGTTGAGCCTTCCATTAGAAAAGAAAAGAAGTTGACAGAATTTGCATCGAACACATGCACTGCAATTCAAGGCTCTCGGCCTCATCAGAATATTACCAGCTTGCTGCCATGTGTCGCGTCAACTTCCATCAGATGCGTTGGAACTTGCGTTGGAACTTGTGGGGTCTACCATCTTACACAATTCCCAAGTGAAACATCTGCAAAAAGAAAAGGTTGAGCCTTCCATTAGAAAAGACAAGAAGTTGACAGAACTTGCATCGAACGCATGCTCTGCAATTCAAGGCTCTAGGCCTCATCAGAATACTACCAGCTTGCTGCCATGTGTCGCGTCAACTTCCATCAGATGCGTTGGAACTTGCGTTGGAACTTGTGGGGTCTACCATCTTGCAAGTCCAAAAAGGAACATCTGCAAAAAGAAAAGGTTGAGCCTTCCATTAGAAAAGAAAAGAAGTTGACAGAATTTGCATCGAACACATGCACTGCAATTCAAGGCTCTCGGCCTCATCAGAATATTACCAGCTTGCTGCCATGTGTCGCGTCAACTTCCATCAGATGCGTTAGAACTGGCGTTGGAACTTGTGGGGTCTACCATCTTACACAATTCCCAAGTGAAACATCTGCAAAAAGAAAAGGTTGAGCCTTCCATTAGAAAAGACAAGAAGTTGACAGAATTTGCATCGAACACATGCACTGCAATTCAAGGCTCTCGGCCTCATCAGAATACTACCAGCTTGCTGCCATGTGTCGCGTCAACTTCCATCAGATGCGTTGGAACTTGCGTTGGAACTTGTGGGGTCTACCATCTTACACAATTCCCAAGTGAAACATCTGCAAAAAGAAAAGGTTGAGCCTTCCATTAGAAAAGAAAAGAAGTTGACAGAATTTGCATCGAACACATGCACTGCAATTCAAGGCTCTCGGCCTCATCAGAATATTACCAGCTTGCTGCCATGTGTCGCGTCAACTTCCATCAGATACGTTGGATCTTGTAGGATGCGCGGGATGGATCTTCATGGTTCTTCCATTTCTAGAAAACAACACTGACCGTCTCATCCAATTCATCCTCTTGAATCACTTTGGGATCGTCATGGACAGCTCTGTAGTTCTCCACCAAATCTATGAAGCGGTGTGGTGCTCGCTCCACTTTGGCGCGGAAGCGCTCCATGCAATGTAGGTGTCTCTCATGCGTACAACGTGTTGGGGGAAACCCCAGAGCTGCTGGGTGCAACTCAACGCTGGTTGTGATGTCCTAAGATGACTCGGGCAAGAGGGGCGCAGGGGCGGCAGCGACCCTCAGAATGTGCTCAGGGCACTTGGCAATCTCGGCTTTCACAGCACTGCAGCCCATCTTGGAGATGCACGAGATACAAAAAGGTTTTAAAGGTCTTAAAGATGTTCAAGCTGAACGGCTGCGATGTTCCATGGCGCTGCCTCTTTGAGACAGAATGACACAGACTTCGAGGTTTAGGGTTTACCTACTTGGCAAATTCAGGGACATTCTGTTCAATCCTGAGTTGCCTATCAGTAACATCGCAAATTCCCTTTGCATCAAGCTGGCACTGGGATTGGCTCAACATACCGTCCCCCACCAAAATTGATGATTCTGCTACCAAATATCCATCAGTGACAAACATCAAAAATGAAGAATCAACATGAAACACGTCATTTTTGGGGCCAGAATGGGCCAAAAACTGATGGTTCAATACTACGTACAAGTGACCACATCTCAGGGTCCATGGGTGCCCAATTTGTTGAGTCGCATCATCACCCCCAGCCAGCCAGCCATCCATTCCCATCCCACGGAACCTGATGGTGCCCAGGAGGCATCTGTGAGAAACTTCCTTCACCAGTCTGGCACAAATGCCAAGAACAACTTATAGCATAACTTGGAAAATGAGAAAGAAAACCATCATGTACCCTCTCGTCATTCAACATAGCAGAACATCTCAGTTTTTCGTAGGACAATCATCTATAAATGCGCTATTTGCCATGGCAAACTCGAAAAAAATACACAGACAGTAACTCCTAAAAGATCAAATTTCACCCACAGGAATGGAGATATCACCACCAAAAAATACACGGACACCGGACAATCATGACATCCTATTGTGAAATTTTCCTGGTCTTTGCAACCCTGCAACCCTGATCTTCACATTCCAAATTCCAGGAAGAAGAAATAGATACAAATAGGACATCTAGGTACACCAAGCTACTCCGGTTACTAATTAACATTTGTTGGTCTCTTGTTTTTTACCCAACAATTTCCAGTCACAATATTAAAATACACACCATACTTGCCAGGCTTCCCCAGACTATGCTGAAATCTGGTGCCAAAAACATTGCACTGCAGCTGGTGATATCCTAGTGATATTTTGTTGGATTAAACCAAGACAAACAACCACATGTTTGTCAGCGAAGACCCAAATCTATGTTGGTTACCCTCTGGTAAACAAACAAAATGCTATTGAACATGGCCATTGAAATAGTTGATTTACCCATGAAAAATGGTGATTTTCCATAGTTATGTAAACGTTTACCAGAGGGTAGATTGCAAAATCCGACCTAACGTTGGGTAAAGCCATGCAAATCACCATTCAAAATGAACTCAAGTTTGTTGGGTACTTGGTGGCTCATCCCACTTAGTAAGTGGGTTATAACCCCGGTTATAAGTGGATTAACATGGATTAACCCTACTTATCCCATGTAAATCACTGGGGTTATAACCAATTTACGAGCCGTGGGATGAGCCACCAAGTATACATTATCCACTTGTTGGGTAACTCCTCATTTTCATTGACTTGTGCTGAACCGTCCTGGCCCACAGCCTCACCTATGGCGATCGCAGGTTAGACTCCATCCCGAACCACAAGACGGGGGTTAAATTCATTTGACCATATTTGACTAACCGGAAAAGGTTGGGCCATTTTGGGATGATTCCCCCATAAAAAATGAGGGAGATCAGTGAGGTCGTTAGAATTTGCCCAGTCTCTATGTAGCAAATTTACCCCCAAGCGTATCATCCGTATCTGGGGTGTTGGCAGCAACCCTGATCGGTAGCAAAAGATATCAACAAGTCTTTGGTCATGTCAGGAAGAAATAGCAAAGAATTTTCGCGCTGATCCCAACCTTCCGTTCAGATCAATGGGTGATCCACATTTATATAGTTTGGCAATGTTTGGCATCAGCCAACAACCAATTTATACTTGTGTTATTCCAACAGCCAACGGTACCTACAACCAATAAACAATGGTACCATACCCATACCCTTCTGTTGGTTGGTTGTAAATTTAGGTATATTAAATATGTTTCTAACCAATGCAAAATCACTTCCCCACTTGGGGTGCCACTTCGCCGATCGGGATGGCAGATGGTGCCTATGATATATTTGGTTTATCACTGGCCATGTCAGGAACCTAAATTGGAGGCACCTACCATATATAAGGCCTATGTAAGGCCTATGTAAGGGAATATCCCCACAAAATATGGCCTTATATGGTACAGTACTATTGAGTTTACCTTGCTACTAGATTTCTAGCCATGAAAAAAAAAGACGCTGAAGGGTAATGCAATATCCGAGCAGTGATTCACACACTGCACAATTATATAGTCGACGAAATTGAGGCATTGATCATTCAATCATGATACGGGTGTGTCTGAAAATAGGCTACCCCAAATTTGATGGCTAATCATCATTTTCCATCTTAAATTGCCATGTAGAATGTATACCCAGCCACTCAATAAATATGGTTTTTGTCAGTGGCACCTGCAACTTTCAGCAGCCATCTGCAAGTGCTGAATTTCATGCCATTCAGTGGGCCATCAGTTCCTGTGTGGTAGTTGATTGCTGGTGGTTGAGCCACCAATCCAAAATGTCTACGGTTGATCATAGCCTTCTCAACAATAGAAACTATGTGAAACCTACATCTGGTTATTTAACATAGCCATGGAAAATCACCATTTTTATATAATAGGTAAACCATCTATAAATGGGCCATTTTCCATGGCTACGTTAAATAACCAGAGGGTAAATTGAATCATTCAAATACTGCTGAAAGCACAAACCAGCAATCACTCTAGTCCCAAAGATGGATGTGCGCTTTCAGAGGTCGGGGAACCAAACACGTACAAAAATACCCTAAACGTTGATTCTCAATGAGCGAAACGACTTATTAGTAATGTATGGCACAAACCCTCCAACATTGGAGCCTTATGGCATATTTGGTTTGCCACTTTAACCCATTTCTGACCCGTTCCTGACCCATATGGAGGCTTCCTAAAATGGTGGGTACCCCCAAATCATCTACTTTATGTTCGGATTTTTCCTTACAAACCATCCAGCTATTGGGTACAGACATTTTCAGGGAACCATAACTTATGCCATCCATCCCTCTTCCCATCACCGCACCTCCTCGTTCTCATCATGCACCGCGCACGCCTGAGCTGCGTCGCGTTTTTCGAAAAGCGGCGTTCTCATCATGGAGTTCTGTCCCCTTGTCTTACTGTTAGTACCCTCTGGTTATGTCAAAATAGCTATTGAACATGGTGATTTATAGTGGATTTACCCATTGAAAATGGTGATTTCCCATAGTTATGTCAGTTTACCAGAGGGTAACTCACACTAGGTCAAACACTTACTGGTGCGTTTTACGTAGGGAATGGATGGGAATCGGGGTTGCTGGGATTATTATTGATAGTGACTGTGGATCATTCCCGAAAATTCCCTACGTTTAGCACAAGTAAGTGGTTTAAGGGAAAACATATCAGGGGTTGGTAACTGTCCCATTTTGGGTATATTGGACATCACCTTATAATAGCCATTATAGACCATATACCTAATGGTTGGGTGATGTTCAATGGGGACATTTAATGACCCATGCATATTCCCGGAGATGGAAAAGCCTGTGATTTCTTCGTGCTGATATCAGCATCAAGACTAGGGATTCAACCATTGGATAGGAGATATTCGGAATCAAATACAGCAGTATACAAAAAACTACCCAATACATTGTAACAGAAGTGTAAGATAATATAATGCAATATAACATACCACAATACAGTATATTTTTTTTAACAAAGTAATAGTGTATTATAAGATAATGCATGAACATGTGGTATATTTAAATAGAATATAATGTGATTATTCAAAAATAGTATAGTAATATAAAACAATACGATACAGCACAATATAATATAGTATAATATAGCATAATGTAATATAACACAAATCTAGAGAATACCAAAACTTATAAAGAGAATGGTGCAATAGACAGAGTATAATATAGTATAATATAGTATAATATATTACCGGTATAATATGGGATAATATAGTATAATTATATATAGTATTGTTTTATAGTATAACATCGTATAATATCGTATAATATCGTATAACATAGTATAATCTAGTATAATATAGCAAAGGATAGCGTAATCTAGTGAAGTATAGCACAATATAGTATAATATAGTATAATATGGTATAATATAGTATAATATAGTATAATATAGTATAGTATAGTATAGTATGGTATAGTATGGTATAGTATAGTATAGTAAGTATAGTATAGTATAGTATAGTATAATATAGTATAGTATAGTGTAATACAATACAATACAATACAATACAAATGCAAATACAAAAACAATACAGTACAATATAATAAAGTAAAATATAGTGTGATGTAATATAAAACCAAATAATTTACCCTATGATAGGATATAATATAACATAATTACAGTATAATATTAGTTAGATACAATGGGGATATAACAGCTTCATGTGGGGAGACGCTGGGAATGTAATAGGTCATAATGGGGATACAATGGTTTTCTTTAACAACCAGATATTTTCCAACATGATTTGGTCTGAAAATGATGGGAATGTACACCACATTCCTTCCAGTGGTTTAGTCTTCCCTACCAAAATGACAATTATGCTATATTGTACTCTGTATCTTATCCTATTGTGTTGTATTATCCTATATTTATGTAACCACTCTGTATATTATACTCTATATATTTTCCTATTATACTCTGTATATTACACAATATATTAGTATAAGAGCATATCCTATTGGGACAAATTTGGGTATCCAACAAACGGATCAAACGGATACTGGATACTAGAGATGAACCCCACTTGTGGGCTGAGTTTAAACAATTGACCCGGAACATGAAATATGGAAAAGAAACGGTCGATAACCAGTGGGTCAATTGTTTAAACTCATTAATGTGGTTGTGGGTACAACCATAATAAGTTCATGCGAGTGGTACATTAATGTGGTTGTAAATAACAAGTCAAACTCGCATTCAACCAGTTTGCCAAGAGCCCAAGAACAGGCTAAATGTCGTGTGGAATGATTGGGGTTCCTATGGATCTGACATTTGCTCTCTGAAAACAAACATCCAACAATGGAACCCTAACAAAAAGAGTTTGTGCAACCTCTTGAATATGGCTATCATTTGGTTTCGTCTTGGAGTTAACACAGAAGCCTTGTGCGCGTGATGGAGACCAGTGAGTTTGCATTTGCCTGCAAAATCAGCCGAAAAAAACAACTGAGAGGCAAACATCTGCTCATACCAGTGTGAGAACATTTGGTGTGATACTCAGCCCTTTCTATATTATCCTATGATACTCTGTATATTATCCTATTATACTCAGTGAAAGCAAAGAACAAGGGCAAGATACTCAGCCCTTTCTATGGTGGTCTTGCAGAATCTTGCCCTTTTCTCCCAGACTTGCAGACTTGGTAACGAACAAAATACACAGCCATATCCTATGGTTCCAAAACGTCTGTTTCTTGTACCCGGCCTGGTAAACATACAGAAAACTTGGAAAACCACCATGCTATTAATGGGTAAACCCACTATTTCGATGGCTATTTTCAATAGCAAACTGTTTGTTTACCAGGCCGGGTAAGTGATCCCTTGAATCAATCCCGCCATTCCACTGCAAGTGGCTTTCCCACAATGCCATAAATATATAGGTGGTATATATTCAAACCATTCCCAGGAAGTCATGGGTGGTTTCTGACATTGTTTTACCCAGATTCATCATTATTGTAAGAACCATCAACTAGCCATTAACTAACCACCATTCATAAACATTAACCACTATTAGTAACCATATATAACCACAAATAACCATAGTTATGACATTGTTTTACCCAACAATAATGTCCTTTTGGTAAAAATAGAAGGGCCGGTTTGGTATACCATCCAACATTATCAAAGAAACCTGTTAAAGGAGTAAACCTTCAAACCCCTCTATGAAAATCAACCAACCAATGGGAAAAGAACATCTATGGTTTTACCCAGATTCATCATTATTGTAAACCATCAACTAGCCATGAAAACCACCATTAATAACCATTAACCATTATTAGTAACCATATATAACCATAGTTATTGGAGTTGTAAGCACCATTAACATCCATTAACGATTAGTAGCTCAATTCATGGTGGAGTTTGAATTCACCATTGTTTTACCCACAATGAATTCAAGAAAATCCTCCATCTCTGGACCCAGCCCATCGGACCCCATCGAGTTTTCGACAAAGGAACGATGGCACAAAGAGCAGGCTGACTCACCTGCGATTCCTCCTGGGATCCCGGTGAAGACGGTGGGGTCACTGGAGTAGTCACGTTGAACCTGGGGACCTCCCTGGCGTGACCACGAGGAGCCAAAGGTTGGTAGAATGAATGGATCTATTATAACAATTTATAACATATAATTTCACGAGATTTCTCTGAAGAACCCTGCAACTGTAGATTATCATGCTGTTTGAATAGTGGTCAGTGGAGTAGTAGTCACTAAAATGATGCATGAATTGGCATACAATGACGCTCTCCTTCGGATTTTTTCTTGGGGGTTTAATGGACGAACTGGGTCCACATAAGGGAATAAACGGATGATCAGCGGCAATCCAGTTGGTTGTCGGCTTCTAGCGAGTCGGTGTCTCACCATTCTTGTGATACCCTGAGAAAAAATACGGGACTGGACCCATTCAACCCCTACAACTTAAAAAGTTCAAAAGTCAAACGAGAACATTTTGGATTTTACATTATATACAAATGATATACACATATGATATATACATATATAATATATTCATCATATTTATCATAATATATATATATATGTGTGTGCGTGTGTGTATGTTTAATCCTGGAGTAGATAGAATATGGGATGTTTGAACATATTCCTAATCTAGTGGTGATGTTTTGAAATCACAATATTCTATCTACTCCAGGATCATTTATAGGTGTATATCATATCTATCTACCACAATAAGATTTGACACCTATAAAGAATTATGGATTTGCAATGATTTGCATATATGGAGGTTTCCTAAAACGGGGATACCCCAAGTCATCATGGGTTTCAATATTGAATGGTCTAATTTTGGATAATTTGGGTACCCCTATTTGAGGAAACCCCCATATTTACATCCATGTTCCATCATGTTCCATATGATTCAAATATTACCCTCCAGTAAATTGGCATAGACCCTGGCAGATAAGGGGTTGGAAGATTAGTTTCCACTAAACATTGAATATTTTCCGGGTCTAAGTATGTTAATTTACCAGAAAGTATCTTTGATGTATGTGACCGTACGTGACGTTCTGGCCTGAATAAAAACCATGATTCCAGTGAGGTCGCAATGAGGTCGTTATAATTTAATCAGCCCCCATCCAGGTGCAAGGTCGGTTTTTCTGGGTCTCCCCGCATCCTGCGCCAGAGCCGCCAAGCACTGGCGTGCCAGGCGGCATAGCTCACTTCCACCCTGGTACCATGGACGTTGAAGATGTTGACGGCCAGAAAAGTGCAAAAACGATGAGGAGGTTTCCTAAAATGGTGTTCCCAAAAATTGATATTTGTTTATAATGGAAAACCCTATTAAAATGGATGATTTAGGGGTAACCCTATTTTAGGAAACCTCAAAAAAAGATCATGGGAACATCATCAACGGTTTTTTTTCAGGGGTTGGTAAATGTCCAGATATAAAACGAAGAAAAAAATACAGTATTGGGGTTTACCATCTGGGATACTTTCCCAGTTCATGTTCAAAATAACCAAGAAGGGTCATTTACCAACACCTGATGAATATGATGGGGTTGGATTTACTGACAATTTAATTCGAATATGTTGGTAACATCATCTTAAGCCGTGATAAATCCTGGGGATGTCAAATAGAATGTCTCAAAATTAGGATTTAACATGATTTGACTGAAGGTTTATCCCTGAATATGCTGGGGAAGGATTGGCTTTACAGAACAGCTACAGGAAACCAATGTGGGCCCCCCAGTTATAAGATGGTTTATAAACCCCATTGACTATACAGTTGTACGTATCATAAATCATAGTTATTGGAGATCCAAACCAACTTAGCTATCTAGGTCCCCCCACTTTGTAATTATGCGATAAATATCATAAATATACCATAGAACTTAAACTGGTTACTACTGCCTGAAATACCCATGAATTGAAATACTCGAATACTGTAACGTAGCAATTTAAGAATCAAAAGGTTCCAAAACAAAAAAAAGAGTGCACCTGAGGATAGTTTAACTATCTAAAAGTTCATTATAGTTTACCTATTAAATATCAAATGATAGTCAAAAGCTTCATTATTTAACTATCTAAAATGTTTTTTTAAGGTACATTGATATCTATTGTGAATTATAATCCAAAGAAATCCATAGAAATCCGTCGATAAACCTTGAAAGCCATAGATAAATCAAGAAATCCAAAGATTATGTATTAAATATCATCAATATACAGGATGATGCCCCCCCAGTTATAAGTTCAATAATTAACACCCCATCTAAATAAAAATATTTGCGTATCATACACTAATTAGTGTTAACATTGCCAATCTTAGATACCCTGCAAAAAAAAAAGCTGGCTAGTAGATATTCCCATTTATACCGCGGATCGCACAGCAACGAGTCAACGCACTGAACCACTCTATCCCGGGCCGCATTGGCGGGAGCAGAGGGCTGAGGATGCAGTGAATTCTCATGAAATTGGTAACTATGATGATTGAAGACACCTTGGTAAAAGTGTACACACGGTACAAAAGACAGCAAGATTGAACAAGCTGTCCATACTTTGTGATGAAAAATTGCCAAACATCGCCATGTTCCGACACATGGCAAGAGGCCACACCACGGTTCTTTTGCCATGGCTAAAGCCACTAAGATTCCATGTAATCACTGGTGCACACAGCAGCATGTCATTCAGCAAAGTTTTAACCAGCGTTCGCCTTCAAAGCAAATCCTCCGTTGTCACAACCCCTCATCGTCATAGCCTTCCTGGCATGGAAGGCGCATCTTGCCTTGATTCATGTCCATTGGCATCCAAGTGCAGTCGTCTCAGGCGGAAGCGAATATAGCCAAGTCAAAGCCTTGAATACACACAGCGCAGCTGACAGTTGATAGTCAACCTGCGATTCACGCTTACCTGCACCACTGACCAAAAGAGCAAGATGCCTCTCGTGTGCGAATGCCACTTGGCACGCTAATGCTGTCCAAATCACCCAACTCATTCGAGTTTTCACCGAGCATGTACATCCAGTCGAAGTCAAGGGATCGTGCGACCTCATGTAACTCGCATTGGCATCCACAATTGAATGGCGTACAGTGACAGAAGCAGGTGACTCCAGTTGGACTCGTTCTTGCGGAACCTTCTTTACTGAAAACGCATGCTTGCAGGAAAATACATCAAGATAACAGGTGGTTTTCACGGAGTCCACCACCTTAGGACGTAGTTCCTGCAGATTAGAATCCATGGCCCAATTGGTAGTGCGCCCTGCTGCACAACAATAGCACACGCCCCGTGAAGGCTTGGGCCTCGTGGCTTCCCATTTATATCAAAATATTAAAGGATTAAAGTATCCATCTAAGATTAACCTAGTTCATGGGTCATTAAATGTCCCATTTTGGGAATATTGGACATCACCTAAAAAAGTAGCCATCTAGTAGACCATATACCATTCATGGTTGGGTGATGTTCAATGGGGACATCAGTCATGACCCATGTAGATTAACCTAGTTAATATACCATATAGGACATCCCGACATCGTTTCGTGCCCCAGCGAACGCGCAACGCGCAACGCGCCTTGGCCTCATGCTCCAAGCCGCGCACAGCACTGAAGCGTTCGTCCGGGTCCAGGGAACGCAGCGCGGCCTGCGGCGAACGACAGCTGACAGGAGGATTTCCCGAAAAAAAACATGGAAAAACTATGGAAAACTATGGAAAATATGGACAAACTATGGAAAAACTACGGTAACTACATCTAAATATACGAACAGGTATTTTAGACTAGCTCCAGGAAAGTTTTCCTTGGCCCGGCCAGCCATTTCAAGATACGGAATCATGGAATGCAATTCATTGAAACATACAGTAACTACCCTCTGGTTATTTAACATAGCCATGGACAATGGCCCATTTATAGATGATTTACCCAGCTAGAAACCTCCATTTATGGTTGGGATTTTCCATGGCGAACTGTTAGTCATAACCAGATGGTACATGACTAAATATACGAAGTGGTCTTTCATACTACCTCCGGGGCCTCGCGGTCTGGCCCGCCCTCCACATATTTCAATGTCGTTACCGTATGGAAAAACTATGGAAAAACCATGAAACATATGGAAAAACTATGGAACACATGTTTTTGTCCAATGAAAATGTTGGGAAAACCATGTTTGTCCTCTAACTTTCCTGAAAACCTTGGAAAACATTGCAACAGATATTCTTTCCCATGTTCTTTTAAGCGTTTCCTCTAACAAACTTCCCAAAAACCAGTCCAGTGATTACTGCGATAGCTGAGCTTTTTTCAGCAATAGCCCCTGGACTTTCCAAAGAATGGAGCAACTCCGAGGTAGACTGACTGCATCATATGAGACACTGAAGACTAGACAGACTAGACACGATCCTCCCAACTTTAGGTTATTCCTTCTCTGGTGATGTTTCCATGTTACCCTCTGGTAATTTAACATAGCCATTTTTCAAATGGCCCATAGAAATAGTGGATTTACCCATTGATAGCATGGTGATTTTCCATAGTTATGTTAGTTTACCAAAGGCTATACCATCATATATCCCATTATATCCCATTAAATCCCATTATATACCATTAAATCCCATTAAATCCCATTAAATCCGATTAAATCTACCCATTATATAACAAATAACCAGAGGCTATGTTGATAACAAACCTTCATTTTTCGGTGGCAGCCAGTGCTGCCAGCTCCTGGGATGGATTCTCGCCAGCACCGCCAGATTTTGGAGTCGCTTGATTTTGGATGCCTTTGGTAGACTAACATAACTATGGAAAATCACCATTTTCAATGGGAAAATCCACTATAAATGGTCATTTTCAATAGCTATGTTAAATTACCAGAGGATGGTTTTTCCGATTTTGAAGATGTCCAGCTGGAAAATTTCATCGAATTGATCTACCACCTGGTTATGACTAACAGTTCGCCATGGAAAATCCCTGATAAACGGAGGGTTTAATGGGAAAATCATCTATAAATGGGCCATTGTCCATGGCTATGTTAAATAACCAGAGGGTAAATGTCACAAAAACCTGAAATGAATATCTGATTCCAATTGATCACATGTCATAGACTTGACAGATTGGCCATTTCGGGACGATTTCCGTTACCAACCAACACCATAGAAATGGGCCCTCGCTGAGTCTTCCCGCTGCCAGATCCACACCAGGAAGGTACAAGGCCAGTTCAGTGAGGCAACAGCGATCCTTCACGGAATCTCGTGCTTGGGGGCTGCAGGTGAGGTTCAAGATGGGTATAACTTATGATTATAAACCCCCAAAAGTTGGGATATAACCTCGATAGCCGTGACACAGATTTTCATGGCAACAACAATTGAGCAGTGTTCAAAATCCCTCTCTCAGTCCATTTAATCCTGGTTGGTTTATAGAGATTCCCCTATTGGATTATGAAATCATCCCCAATATATTGGCTACTATATATAATTGGATTATTATAATCCCCAATATATAAAGGGTAGTATATATAATCTCCGAACTAATCATCAACCCTGCCAGGGGGTTTAGCAGCCACTTTCCATATTACGCTCAAACCTGCCTCTTTGAAACAACAGTTTTTCAGGGTGTTCTTTGCTCGGCCTATGTCCTGGTACAAATCCACCCGGCTCGGCTGATTGAGCTCGTGAAGAATCATCGGACCGTCAAGATAGATAGTCCGGTCTCGTGGTTAAAATTTCTGCTAAATGATGCGGAAAACCCTATTAAAAATCATTGAATATGTGTTGGTTGTTTATCATCATGATAAAAAATAGGGATGATCATATAAATCATGATCATGATCACAAGGTAGATATAAATCACCAAGGACCCTAGAATCAAATTCCAAAGACCCTAAATCATCGGCTGCAAAACCTTTCATGTGAATCATGTTTGCTTTCACATCCCACCAGCAGCCCTTTTTTCGAACCTCTTCGTGCCTAGGCCGCTAGGCCGCATGAGATCTCCGGAACCAACTTCTTTCAGGTGGTGGTATCCCGGTATCCCCTGAAAATGACCACATCAGTCGCCATGTTAGGAACCGATTGATTGGAGGTACCTACCATATATAAGGCCTATTTTTCAGGGCTATGTAAGGAGATATAGCCCCAAAATATGGCCAAAAATATGGTACTAACGTACCTCCATCTGTTGGATCCTGGAATTCCCATTGAATCAACTGATCTGCTTGTTATTACCATGCTACCATATGATGGTTATTACCATACCATACTACTTATATAATACCATATCGTACTACTGATATTATCATGAAAAACATCAACTGATCTGCTTGGTAAAGATGGTGAGTTCCCATAGTTATCTGTATGTTTACCAGAGGGTATAACATGGGAAATATATGTTTATATAATTTTATATATCTGGTTGGTGGTTGAGCCCTACCCCTCTGAAACATATGAGTTCGTCAGTTGGGAGTATGAAATTCCCAATATATGGAAAAATAAATTCATGTTCCAAACCACCAACCAGTAATATATTTTCTGAAAATGCATAGACATCTGCAATGTGGGGCCCCCAGTTATAAGTTGGTTTATAAACACCAGTAACTATATAGTTATTTGCGTACCATAAACCATAGTGAAATTGGAGTTATGTGCACCAACTGAACGCTATCGTTTGGGGGCCCCACATTGGTGGGTTTCTTAAGGGACTGCGATTTTGTCTGCCAATGTGGCTGCTTACATCCCACGAAAATACCCCAAAAAAATCGTGGGTGACACCAAGTTTCAAAGTATCAACAATTCAATCCTCGATTTCCCATAGGATCCATGGTGCTGCTATATATGGTAACATAGATCCCATCAATATACCCCCTTTATGTTAGCATATATACCAGCACCATGGATCCGTCATGGGTTTTGAATGGTCAAAATACGTCCAAATCCTATATTTTTGCGGCTGGTATCGTCACGATACCCCAAAACACATAAACTATCATAAACTCGAAATTCTTGATGCTCAACATACCATGAAAAGATCACCAAAATTCTCCAAATTAATCGAACAATGGTGATGCTATGCAATACCGTTATAGAAAAACTGTGAACAAACCACGAAACTTCACTAAACATATGGCTATGGGTCAAAACCTTTTAACCCATGATATTTGAAATATGATTTGGGAAGGTGAACATCCATTAATCAGCTATGATTTAGATGATTATTTTAGGGTATCTACAATGTGGGACCCCCAAACGATAGCTAAGTTTGTGCAAATAATTCCAATAACTACGGTTTATGATACGCAAATAACGAACTAGTATTCATGGGTTTATAAACCATCAAACATCACTTAAAGGGGCTCCACATTGCACCTTTCCAATATCCATGGAAAAGAGGGAGCACAATCAGATTGACTGTAATCCATAGGTATACCTTTCCATATTTGGGTTCCAGGGTTTTCCCCCCATAGCTCATATTTTGATAGGAATTTCTATTATAAACTAACCATTTTGCTGGTACCACCATTTATGGAAACCCCCAAATAGTGGTATTAAATACCATCATTAATACTATCCCTATAGCTCTAACGTAGTTAGATATGATGGGATATCAGGCTGATTCGTGTAGGTTACAGGGTTTTCCCTCCCATAAAATCACCCTCTCCAGCGGTGTTTAGATAAAAACCACGGTGCATGAAGGTGACCACCGCTTGCGCCGCCAGGCGCTTAGCCGACGAAGCTTCGAGTGCCAGTTGCGGTGCAAACTCGGCCTTGAGGTCCGTTTTTTTTAGTGGTTTAAGTATGATTAGTGATGAATATAGTGGTTTTATTGTGGTTTTATAGTGGTTTAACTATTCGTGGTGAATATAACAATAGAGTATAACTATTATTTAACCAACTATGGTACACTAATGGAGGTATATATGGAGTATTACCATAGATTAGTATAAAAGGACTATAACTTGTTTAAATAGTGGTTTAAGTAAGATTAGCGGTGAATATAATGGTTTTATGGTGGTTTTTATAGTGATGAAGAGTGTGTTCACCAACTAATAGTACTCCAGTAGTGGTTTAATCTTAAACCAGTAGTTAATCCACTATAGTGGTTGATTTGACTAAGTATGGTACAATAACTATAGTCATTATACTATGATATAGTAATATGATGAGTACATGGTACAATAACTTTTTAGTCATTAACTAAGTATGGTATAATAATGCTGAGTACCAATATTAATTGATGAAGTATAACATAGTATAACTATAGATAAGTACCATGGTGCCATAACTAGTTTTCATAGTGGTTTTTGAAATACCAGCTAATCATGGTTGGTGAATAGTTGTATAAAAGTTAGTAATACAACTATTGTGAAAAACAATAGCCGTTAATAGTTGGTGTATATAACATAATGTATAAAATCACTATGGTGGTATAACTCCATCATTATCTTAGATTTACCAACTATGATAGACTATGATATAACTTCATTGCTATTGGTTAATAGTACTCAAAATGGCGAACATATAAATATTGGTGAATAATGGAGTTGTATCATAGTTGAATAGTTGGTGAATAGTTCTTGATATAGTAGGTGCAACTCAATATCATGGTGATTTGCTGCGGTGAGGATGTTACCCTCCAGTCATGGATTTCACAGTGAAACGTGAAACTATAGGATAATATACAGGATGGGGCCCCCCACTTATAAGTTGGTTTGTAAACCATTATAATCCCCATTAACTATAGTTATATCTACCATAAACCATTGTTAAGCCACTTATAAACCAACTTAGCTATCTTGGGGGCCCCATCCTGTAGGTAGATAATGGAATAAAATTGTGGCTTTTCACTTGAAATGTTTGATTACCGGAGGGCATAACCAAAGATCATAGCTGAATATGGAATATATGCAAATGTAAATTTGTAATTCTATATTATATAGATATATTTGTTTAAAGTTATTCTATACAATAATAAATATTTTGGTATAAAGATAGCTTTAAATTATGATATATATATATGTATGTATGTAATTAGTCATCCTGGAGTAGATCGGATATGGAAATTTCAAAACATAAAGACTAACATGGAATATCGTTGAAAATCCCAGATGTAAATAGTTAGCCCGATCTTAAAACCCAACAGCAGCTTTCATACAGTATACTGTATAGATATCATATATTATATATATACATATATACACACACTCTCTCTCTCTTTATAATATATATATATATATACATATTGGCTGAAATATAGTAACTCACTAACCTGAAATACTGAAACTTGCAGCCATTTGGGGATGATTCCCAGAATCCAATTCCCATCACTCCAGCGACGTCAGAATGAAGTCAGCATAATGACTCCATGTATAAATATGTATTGTATTACATGAGTTTTTCTGGAAATTGGATATAGCCCAAAATCGTTATTTTAAAATTGGGGAAAGATCAACTGATGGGCCATATGTTCGTTATTCTATAGATGGAATACCACTAATTCATGTGTTTCCAACTTGTACACCCCACTTTACACGTGTTGCATTTACATGTTCCTTGGTATTTTACAAGATCGGTGGTCACGGGACCATCTCAAAATAAATCATCTAGCTGGTGATCATCATACATCATTTACCATCTGGTTATTTAACATAGCCATGGAAAATGGCCCATTTATAGTTGATCTTCCCATTAAAAATAGTGATTTTCCATAGCTATATTAGTTTACCAGAGGGTACCTCATCGTTTTCCCGGTCATTTTCACCTTGTTCTTACAGTAAACGTTGGGGTCGCTTCTACACCCTTCAAACCTACCGTGGGTTTCCCCCAGCTTGGCTGCTGAGAAAAGTTGCAAAGGCTTCGGGCAAGGCAGCGGAGCGACGACACCCTGGTGACATCTTTTGACGGGATGCCGGATGCCTTTATACCCTCTGGTAAACATACAGAAAACTATGGAAAATCACCATTTTCAATGGGAAAATCCACTATTTCTATGGCCATTTTCAATAGCTATGTTAGTTTACCAGAGGGTAAAACTTCTGTGTGTCTGAAGATGGGGCTAGCCCAACAATAACAAGTTTTCTGGTTGGTGGTGCAATAACCATCTTGAAAAATATGAGTTCGTCAATGGGACGGATTATGGAAAATAAAAAATGTTTGAAACCACCAACCAGTTTTATAGGGAACATGATGATCACTCAGATTTTTGGGCTACTCTATCAACAAACAAAGCCACTTGGATAATCTTGGAT